TATTTTTTTAACTACACCTACTCCTAAGACTATATAGAGGGGGGACCCCTGCAAGCATCATAGGGCCTTGCAAACGAGGTAAATCATATTGCCCCCCGCCCCAACAGGGGTAGTCGGAAATGGGGTGGGGCCGCCGGTGAGGGTCCGTCTCACGCAAAGACCGAGCGTTTTGCCAGTAGCTGCACCTCCCTTTCTCATCGTCCCCCACCCCTCCTCAAGTAGCAGCAGAGGCTATGGTCAACACTCTCCCACACACCGCACACAACCCACTCGCACTTGCACTCACACCCGTGTGAGTGTTGGTCATAGACCCCAGCCCATGACCGCTGCGGCGGACTTAGTGCCAACGGACTGTGATAGTCCTCTGGATACTCCTGATCGGTATTAGCGGGGTCTATGAGAGTTATTATTTTTGTCGTCTATGTTCATGATTTTTCAGATTTATCATTTTTGTCAAAAACACAGAGCCAAAAAAAATTCCAAATTCTGCTGACTCAAAACTTGGCTAAAAGCCATCAACTGCCGCTAGCCAAAACCCGACACACCCAGCAGCAACAAGCCAGAGGCACCAATGAGGCATTCAAAATGTGGCAGGGGCAGTGGAGCCTTGGACACACTAGTCAACCCTTTACACACACAATGCGACTAATGTACATTACACACTAGTCACACACACAGAGGAGAGGAACCATGACAAAACGGTCCGCTCAAACTGACAAAAATTGAGAAGGTGCTACATTGCTCACTACCCTGATGATCACCTCACCTGAATATAAAACATCAGAATAACACTCCTGGTTGTTGAGGCAGCTTAAACACGCTCATCACCCAGTAAGAATGGGAACCGATATATACCCTTACTCCCCAACCAGGACGCAAACAGTCGTACATACAATGCTTGTTGCCGAGGACGCTTGAGTGTATTCATGACCCCTCACCGATCCAACTGGATGTACACTCCTGATTGTCGAGGTAGCTTACACGACCATCATCAGTCCTACTGGGCTCAGCTCATAAGCCTGCTTGGCCAGAACGTAACCAACACTCCATCCGGACCTATTTCGGCAAACCAAAAGTTGCGTTTCTCCTAGCCTAAGATCTACAGTGCCACCCTGAGGAAAAGTAGGTGTGGTATCGAGCCTGGGCACTGTAGATCTCGCCCACACCCGGTACTTGTAGAGAAGAAAAATGAGCAGTGCGGGGGTCGTTGGAGTGGTGGTTTATGCATGCTCCGTACCCCTGCAAGATGCACAAGGACGCAGACTATTGCTTGACGTGGATGTGCGACTCTGAACGTGCTCGGCACCATGATGAAAGCGGCCTGCAAATAACATAGGGACAAATTTCATGGCGCGTCATGCCCAGAAAGAACATCATTGTCCATGACCTGATGCCACCTTCATGATTATGCCCCATTTTGTCGTCCCCTGCCACAAATTGCCAAAGCTTCCTTCATTGTCGCAACCACGCCCGCGCGGCTCCTCCATGCTCCTTCCTTGTCACTCTTCGCAACATGCCATTTCTGAGTAGTAGACTCCATCCTCTTGTTCATTGCATATCTTGCTACCACATCCTTCGCAAGTCACACGGAGCAGAACTTCGGATTCTTCTCTCTCAAGTAGTATAATTTCGCCCTCCTCACTCTCCTCCTCTGTAGCACTTTAATCTCCGTGATGTTTGGCGAATATCTGCCGAAACAATCGTCATACCAGCAGGGAAACAAGATTATACACGGAACATCTGCAGTCCTCTTTCAAAAAAGCTCTGCTTCTCAATAAACCCTTAACCAGCAGCGCATACATAACTTCTCAATTTTCTTCACCACCGAGATATTTCCCAACACACATATCAGCTCTTTTCTATACATCCCAGAACAGCTTTGTGAAATGTTTGCCGGAGGTTCACGGGGCAGAATCGACACAAACTGCTTCTCATTCTCCGATTCTCGAAACTCCTGACTGAGGCAAAAAGGTTGCTCAGCTAGCAGAGAAACTTAGAAAGTGTGAAAAAAAAAAAAAAAAAAAAAAAAAAGAGAAAAAAAAAGAGAAAAAAAAAGAAAACTTAGAAAGTGTGCATCCAACCGCATTGTATTGCGTTTGTCAGATTGCATATGACTGTACCGGCCTGGTGATTAATGTGCATAATTAGCTAGGCTAGGAAGATTGTCACGCCCGGCCGGGCACCCACACGCGTGACGTCCAGGGTACCCGGGCGTGCACCTCCCAGAGGACCCCAACATCCGGTCTGTTTGCTTTTTTTGAGAGTTGGCTATCAAGGGGGGCAAGGGGGGTATAACTATAAAGTGGTTTTAAAGGGGCTAAAGGGGCTTAAAGCGGGGTGCCTTTAGTGTGATTCTGTTATTTTCTTTTTTTTGAAAATCTCCGATTCTGTGAGGAATTCTGATGTGACCCTCAGTCCGAAGTCGTTCGTATGGCAATTATAGTAATTTTATATAACATTCTTTTCCTCCAGAAGTTTTTTTTTTTTTTTTTTTTTTTGGGGGGGGGGTGTGGTCGCTGGGGCTGCCTGGAACCCTGCCTGGTGGTTATGACTAGTCGGGCACCCGGCCATGTATCCAGGCAGAAGTTGGGTGCCCGGGTGTCCGGAAAACAGCCTAGGTAATTAGTGCTTTTTGTGTCTGCCTCGCTCACTGAATGTTCCCTTCAAGAACCCGGATTCAATGAACACTACTTACATGAGCAATACCAATTTAATCATGGGACATCATCAGACATCACAGGATTTTGATGTCAGCCTTCCGTGAAGTCGAAACTCCTAAATTACTAACCAGCCAATTGACCACAGTGTTTCAAGAGACGCAGAGAGAGAGAGAGCTACAGTTTGCACAGAGTTGCACCATGTACACGTATCCACCATGTGGCTGCAGAAGAGCATGTAAATGTGTTATGTAACTGATCGCAATTCCATCCACAAAGCATTCCACACATTGCCATACACCATGCATGCAGTGGCCAAGTGGACTTGGGAGGAGGACAATACCACGCAAAACCGGTGAGAAGTACACAGACGGAAGCTCAGTATACAAAAAATAGAATTGAAATGAGATTTCAAAATTTCAATGCCTATTCCCCCTTCCTCCTCCACTCAATCAGATATACAAAATTCCAAGAACTCCAAGAATCCCAACCGTGTTTCAACAACCCCGAGCAAACTCGAGGAACCACCCAATTAGTCCCATCCATTATACCAAAGAGTCATCAAGAAACCTTAGCTCTTCGGTGGATTCTTGAAGGTGCCTTGTGGAGGCGACGTTTGACAAAAAAAAACATAAGTTTAGATGATCAATCTTTATCTGCTGAAATACAGGCTGCTTCGAGAAAACAAGGATTTGCTAGAAAAAAAAGAGATGATCTTCATAAATTAGCATTTGTTATTTTCATTGGTTAATCTTCTTCATCGAAATAACTGGAGCGTTCTTCTTCCTCCTACATCATCTTCTCAACCCTGGCTATGGCGCTCATCATTAGTATCAGTGCCAATCCACCCGACCCTGCCGAGCACCAGTGCCACTCATCCCACCCAACCGCCAATCAGGAACCACAACACAACCCCCGTCACTGAATCCACGCAGCTCCCTGGAGGGAGGAGAACATCCAACATCAAAGAAGACGATATGCAGGAAGGATGTATGGCAGCGCCCAAACCCCAACAGCACAGATGTGATGTCACCGCTTATACAGCGCCTACAGCGC